CTTTTCAGAAAATGGTTTGTGGCATTTAAGGCTTTGGAGAATATTTAACAACTAAACAACATATTTTCTTCTATCAACTTTTCATGTCATGTCATGTGCTTCATTGCTGCACCAGCAACAGGTGTTACACACAATGCAGCTTCACTGTTAGTACTGCAGTGGCCGGACAGGGCACATCCTGTCCAGTGGACATCACAGAGAACAGCACATGGGGTCAGCTCCATCGCCGTGGAGCTCTTCTCACACACTCCTATCCAGAGGCTGACAATGCTCATTACTGTCTGTTGTCTGGCCTCACAGCACCCTCTCTGCCCTTATTGTGCATGCTTGGTGTTGGCGTGTGTGGGTGGAAAACACTCTATGGGCTTTGAGAGTCATTGTGATGATCAGGAAACAGAAGCTCACTACAGTAATGTCCATCTGATAGCCCAGGAGAAGAGGTTCTACTTGCACCAACCACGTAAAACATCAAACAGTGATTAGGTTTATTTAACAATTTAATGGTGTCAATGAACATGACATGATGTAACGAGTCCAGTTAGTAAATATGATGACAGTATTCTGGTGATGTAGTGAGAGCTAGCTTAATTTCCTGCAAAAGATCCAGCGACTGACATTTGCTGCTGGTGGACCGAGCAACAGCAGGGGATGGACTTTTGGTTTAAACAGCTACTGAAAAGAGAAGAGTCCCCCAGCGCAGGAATCTCTGACACAAAAGCTGAAAAAAAAACCAAGCATCAGTGACACAAGTAACATCACAGTAGCACGGGCTCCATAAGTGTATCCAACAAGGATCATCGAAAGGCAAACTATTTACTGGTCAAAGAAAAACAAGGTGATGGTACTCGGCTGCAGGAGTGCACACAACAAATTATATACGCTACTGCTCTGCCGAGCACCATGAAACCTTTCACACTACTGTGATCTACAGCAAAGAGCTTTCATCAAGCTGCTCCGGACCCCTACTCACACATTTACAGACACACATAAAAGCATATGTTTGCGACACGTTCACACTCACATTCTTTACTCCTAAAAAACATCACTAATATATTTGTGCATAATATAATCTCACACTTTATTCATTCACTCATAGATGTGTAGTGAAGTCTCTCCTAAGAGGAAAAACCCTGTATGTGTGTGTTTGTGTGTCTGTATACGTGTGAATATTGGGATCTGTCTATTAGCAGTTGATGAAATGCCTCTGCAAACTCAGGGTGCCATGCGATCAGCACAGCTCTCGTGCACAAACACGGTCTAACCTCTCCATCTCCGGCCTAGTGGCCCAGCGTCCAACCCCGACACAGGATATATATGGAGAAAAAACAGTTAGCAACAATCTTACTACTACACTATATACTGCCACTTACACAGACCTGGAAAAAAAGGATATTAATATTTATGTAACAGCCCATCAGTCTTCTCGTAGAAACTTATTTGTGAAATGACTGAAATGAACACTTACAGAATAGTCATAAAGCTACAGCAGCTTAAAGAAAAACAATGAAATAACAGCTGAGAAAACACCAGGAAGGGCTTCCTGTTACTTTTCTCTGCTTGTGATGGGTGGTGTTAGTGAAACATTAATTATTAGAGTTTAGTTTCTTAATGTGTTATGACTCAAGATATGGAAGTAGGTGAATCAAACATCTAGAGAACAGGCAATGTTTTACTTTTACATTTCCTTTGCTCTCAGATAGTACCTTGCTCATCTTGCTCTTACTGTCAGCAGTCAGGAAGGACATGTTGTTGATCTCATTCATCACCACGAAGTTCTGCTCCTCCCTCTTGAAGTTCTGCAATATATAACACAATAAAGATGCTAAACGAGAGACGGAATAAATGCATACATATATGGAAAATGTCAGAAAACAGAAGACTTACGTGGGATTTGGACCAGAAAATGAAGACCTCACCCACCATCCTGAAAAGCTCCTCTGCATCTGGGTCTGGACAAGTCAGCCACCTTGCCCTACAGACACAGGCAGCAATAGATAGTTCTTGAATGTGAATCATGGCCAGCTTTCTTTTAAAACCTTGAATTATTGTTCCTGTTGAGTTTCTTGTTCTAGTGTTCAGATTTTGAATTTATTATTTCTTGTAGGTTTAGTTCCCTGGTTCCATCCCTCTGCCTCAATAACAACATTGTGCCTCATTGCAAGACAAAAAAGCGTCATATTATGCTCCCCTAAATTTCAAATTTCAATAAAAAAAA